CATTAGAATATGTTATAGGTTAAATATAATTATAATATAACTTGAGCATGATTTAGTTAATTAGAATACTATTTAAATTATGATATATGTGTGGGTCTTGCTAAATTGAACTCAATAGTATTTCTGAATTAATATTGCTTGAGTTGCAACACATCATGAATGGTTTGTGGGCCATTGATTAAAAGTGATGGTTTTAACTTTAGGGTTACAAATTGAGCCATATATTTTATGTTTATCATTAATCGTTCAAAAATAAAATGTTGTGTGTCGGAAGATTCACGGTGTTAGAGTAATAATTTGATGTCTTGGAGTTGCACGAAGATCCAACACACAAGTTAAGAAAAAAAAAAGAAGAAGACACAAGGATTTTGTGCGTGAAAAAATCCGCGAAAGGAAAAAACCACAGCTTCTAGCCTACTAAAAGTAATCCATTATAAGATTGTAAGTACATAGATTCACTCTTTTTCTAATTCCAAAAGGATGAAATTACAATATTGATAATCACATATATAAAGTAATCAACCAGATTTAATAGTCATAATTGGGCTACAACAAGTGTATTCTTAGCGATAATAGCAATAGCGGGTCGCAAAGATTATAGTTGATTGCTATAAAAACAATAATTTACTATAAAGATCAGAGTAGGTGGATGTGATAGTGTCAGTTGGCCATAGATGTCATAGTTGGATGTTGTAATGGAATTTAGCTAAATAGGTCATAGTTGGTTAAATAAGTTGTGGTTGGTAGATGTAGCAGTGTTTGTTGGCCAGAGAGGTTGTAATTGTAGAAGGTTGCAATGATATTAGTTGACCGTATAGGCCTTAGTGGAGACTGCAATAACAACAATTGGATATATATGTGGTAGTGAAAAACTGTAATGATAAAAGTTGATCACATAGATCATAATGGGATGCTGTAATGATAACAGTTGCCTACAGGAGTCGTAGTGGGATACTAAAATGTTAGTAGTTGATCACATAGGTCATAGTGGAAGGTTGCAATAGTGATCTCGTGGTGGAAGACAACAATGATGACAGTTAGCCAAAGAGGCCATAGTAGGATGTTGCAATGATAATAGTTGGTCATATAAGACATAGTGAGAAGTTACAATAGTAAATGACCACATATGTCATAGTAGGTCACTTCAAAAGCATCAGTTGGTCATAAAGGCTATAGTGAAAGGTTGTAATGACAACAGTTAGTCATGTAGACCATAGTGAAAAGCTATAGTAGTGACTGACTACATAAGCTATAGTAGGTCACTGTAAGAGCATCAATCGGCCATAGATGCTATAATTGAAGGCTATAATGATAACAATTGGCCACATAGACTATAGTAAGTTGTTGTAAGAGCATTGGTTAGCCAAATAAAATATAGTGGAAGGTTGTAATGATAGTAGTTAGCCATGTAGTTCGTGTTGGGAAGCTATAATAGTAACTGACCACATTGGTCAGAGTAGGTCACTTGAAGAGTGTCAGTTTGTCACAAAAGGTGTAGTGGAATGCTATAATGATAACAGTAAGCCACATAGGCCATAATGAGAAGATACAATATTAACTATCCTTATAGGCCACAGTGGGTTACTGCAAAAGTGTCAGTTGACCACAAAGGCTATAGTGGAAAGTTATAATGATTACATTTGAACAAATAGGCTGTGGTGGGAAGCTACAGTAGTAACTAGCTACATAGGTGGTAGTAGGTCACACAAGAGTGTTAATTAACCACAAATGGTGTAGTGAAAGGCATTAATGATAATACATAGCAATGTAAGATGTAGCAGAAAGCTACAGTAGTAACTGGTCACACTGGTCATAGTAGTTCATTGTAAGAGAATCAGTTGGCCATAAATGATATAGTGGAAGGTTGTAATAGCCTTAGTCCCTATCTCCCTGGAAGAATGTCAGTTGTTCACAAATGATAGTTGTAAGTTATAATAGCATCACTTGGTCATATATGTTGTAATTGGTGCTACACAGGTTTGTGGTTGCAACCCTTCTTTCTGATCTTATTATTTCATCAATATTCATTACTCATTTTTAACCTAAAAATACTTTAGTTTCCAATGAGGTATTATATTTAGGGTTTGCATTTTGGGTTCTTTTAATTCATTTTTGGATAAACAATAGTTAATTACATTGCCAGCTATATATACTTGCTTGATGGAGTTTGGGTTTCTTGAAGAGTTAGTTATATTTAAGCTACCAAAATGTGATATCAAGATTAAACAATATAACAAACAATGAAAATCAACTAGGAATTAAGATTTATAATAATAAAAAGATGCATTTACATATATACCACCCAATTCCTATGTATTTACATATCTAACACCTAAGTTTTATTTTTTTTTACATTTATAACACAAAAAAATTTCACGTAGAATTAAAAATATCGCTATGTGCTGATCATTTTTTATAAATGAGAAACAATCAACTGGCAAAGTTGTAATTGACCAAATTTCATAGGATCAAAAAGTAACGGAATATATGCTGATTAAATACAGTGACTGAATTAGAAATGTTTAAATTAGATGGTTGAAGTTAAGATTTCGGAATTAGAAATGTTTAAATTAGATGGTTGAAGTTAATATTGTGAAATAGAATTCAATTAAGCTGCGTTAATTAGGGTGCGTTTGGGGCAGTTTGTGCTTATTCAGATAACCAGCTTATTCTGAAACGCGACCCGCGGGGTTCGACTTGCATTCTGCGTTTAGTGTAAAAACCCAACTGTATTTTCGGATAAACTGTCAAAACATGTTTTCTAAACAGTGAGGCGACATTTTGAAAACGCCGCCCTCACATGCCCCAAACGGGCCCTTAATCGAAATTTTTTGTCTTGCCAAACATGTGAAGCCACTAATTAAAAACCGAATAAATCATTCAAAAAATTTGATTCGATTTAATTTTTTTACGGGGCATTTACATAAATACCATCCAATTCTAGGTGATTACATATCTAGCATCAAAATTATGATAAATACCATCCAATTCTAGGTGATTACATATCTACCATCAAAATTATGTTTAAGCTGTCAAAATGTGTTTCCAAACGGTGAGGCGGCATTTTGAAAACGCCGCCCGCACCTGCCTTAAACGGGCCCTTAATCGAAATTTTTTGTCTTGCCAAACATGTGAAGCCACTAATTAAAAACCGAATAAATCATTCAAACAATTTGATTCGATTTGATTTTTTTTACGGGGCATTTACATAAATACCATCCAATTCTAGGTGATTACATATCTAGCATCAAAATTATGTTTTTTACATTCATATCATGCAGATCTTTTATATCATATCAAAAATTATGCCAATTTAACCGTAAAAGAAGTGAAATATACTTTTTCATCTATAAGTGAGATGGTATGTATGTAAATCTTAAAGTATAGGTGTTAGATATGTAAATACATGGGAATTGAGCAGTTGCTTGCAAATGTTTCTTTTTTTTTTTTTTGTTTTTTTGGCCAAATTCAAGAGATGGGTGCCAAAAAGGTGCAGATTTGATAAGCGAAAAATACATTTTTACTTGCTAACACCATTTTCATTTAATAAATTAAGCTCATAATTTGACTTAGAAGTTATTTAAGTTGGTTAATTAAAATAAGGAGCATTGACTTACATACCACACAATTCTTATGTATTTACATATATAAACCATTTGAACTTTCATGTTTATATGCATAGAGAAATATTTGTGTACGTCTAACGTACGCAGAGCTGCCTACGTCGGTAGGTTACAAGGAGGGTATTGAAGGGTTATATTCGCATTATATCTCATGTAATCTACTTGTAACCTACCTGTAACTTACAAATATATGAAACAGATGCGCAAAACTTACTAGTTACAGGTAGGTTACAGGGATGTTACAGGGGGTATAACACAGATATAACCCTCCAATAGCCTCCCTGTAACCTACTGATGTACGCAGCTCTACGTACTTTAGACTTGCGCAAATATTTCTCATATGCATAACCCTCAAGTTTTTAATATCACATCAACAATATCACAACTATTTTGAGTTACCACTTAATATAGGGGTTGTGACTCGGCTCATTACTAATAATTGCTATAGCTTTGAAGACAAAAGGAAGGAGAAGGAGACGTGGAGTGACATCATTTTTCTTAATTTATTTAGCCTTTTTTAGCGTTCTAATAAATTCACATTCATAAGATTGTAAAGTTTTTAAATCTCTCATTGAGACACTCATTTTGATTATAGATATAAGAAAATGTATAGTTTGTAAGGGCTTTCATATGATTTTAAGTTTTTAATTATACTTTTGAGCTAGCCCTTTAATTTTGTTTAGAATTAGAGATGAATAACTTAAGTATTGATACAATTCATCTTATCAAATTATACTATCTCAATCATAAATTTTTAAATGTGTTCATATGGATTTTGCAAGAAGTTTTGAAGATGAATTGCCTCCAATCATATCACTTATATAGGTTTAATCCCACATCTCTCAGAAAAGTTTTTTTAGAGCCTCAAAACAGTTATAATATACGAAAACCAACACCTGAGAATTTTGCTCGCAATCTAAGCTCCATTAAGTTGGAGCCAAATTCAAGCAAATAAACGAATAAAATCTATCTTGAGTTGCTCACGGACAAATTCGATCAATATCCAACAGACACCAACATACTCATTACGAGCCAAATTCAAACATGATCCAATTCAAAACACGTGTTAATGCAAATGCGCCAAACACGAACAAAACTTCAACTTGTGCATGCTTGACTCATTTACAACCCTATGCAATTTATAGCTCTTTAAATACATGGAGGAAAATCCGTCATTTGAGCCGTATACCCCTCCCTCATACATGTGATCAGTTTCCTAAAATATAAAAATTTATAATTAATTTTTAAATTTTATTACAAGAGTGTTAGATATATAAATATTTTAAAAACTATAATCACTTTATAATTAATGATTTGATTAGAACAACGTGTATAAAATGGGGCGATATTGATAAGTACGTAATCCCCCAATTTATCGGCGAGAGGCGAGGGAGGATTGAGAAGAAGGTAAAGGTCAGAGAGAGGAAGAATCAGGAATTTGGAATGTGGTTAGGATCAAGCTGTTGGAGGATAGGTTTGAATTGGAATACGTGATACAGATCTCTCCCTCTCATACTCCCTCTCCTCAGCTCCTTCTGATTTTAGAGATCTCCTTGCGCTGCGAAAGAATCACTTTTGATTGATATAGCTGTGCTTTGGCGATTTCAAGGCGGATCTCTTCTGAAACTGTTGCTTCGTGTGGGGGAGAGAGGGTTCTGAAATCGCCCGATAGGGTTGCGTGTTGATTTGATTGTTTCGACGGAGCCGTCAATAGGAAGCGGGGGAGTGGGCTGTCTGGCTGGTCTGGAGTGCATACTAGGGTTAATCAGGGCCCTGCAGATGGGTTCCTGTATGTCGTCGGAGGGCGGCAGAGGTGACCGAAGCAGCTTGGCTCCGACCTCGCCGGGTCCCGGGTCGCCATGTGTGGGATCGAAGAAGGTGAATAGGGTTGGGAGGAAGAGGCACGGTTCTTCCCGGCACCCATACTTTGAGGCGAATCATGGCGAGGATCAGATTCACCGAATTCCTGGAAGAATGTTTCTGAATGGCGCGAGTAATGAAGCGTCACTCTTCACCCAGCAGGGAAAAAAGGGGACTAATCAGGATGCCATGGTTGTTTGGGAGGTATAGTTGTTTGGAAATTTCAGCTTTTTATTTGTTTTGCCTTGCTTCTTGCTCTTGTAGTTTACTGTTCTAAAGTGTTTTTTTGGTTAAATTTTTTATTTGCAATCATTTGAGATGCTTGGGAACAGTCTGTATTTTTATTTTCTATTTCTTTGCTGATGGATCATGGAGTTTTAGGTATTTACATATCCAAAACCTACTTACTTTGGGTGTTTGATACGTAAATGCATGAGAATTCGGTGTAAATTTCACTTTTTTTAAAATACTTTTAATCTTCAGCTGATGATGCTACTTTTGAAAAGTTTTAACATCTGCTTTATGCTTAAAGTCGTGTGTGTATATATATATATATATAGAGAGAGAGAGAGAGAGACACACACACACACACACAGACACACACACTTTAGGCATGCACAAGTGTATAGGTTTATGACACCAGGGTGTTGTAAGTGTCAATTCAAACTTAGGTTTTGGATATGTAAATACATGAGAATTGTGTATAAATTTTCCTTTTTTAAAATTCTTGTGCTCTTCAAGAGAGGTTGTTTCTTTTGGAAAGTTTAAACATCTGCTTCATGCTTAAAGTCGTATATATATACATTAGGCATGCTAGGTTTATAGGTTTATGACACCTGGGTGTTATGAGTGTTAATATCAAACATAGGGTGTTAGATATGTAAATACATGAGAATTGTGTGTAAATTTGCCTTGCCCTTCTTTAAATGTTTTTAATCTCCAGCAGATGTTTTTACTTTTGGAAAGTTTAAACATCTGCTTTATGGTTAAGGTCGTATATAGACATGAGGCATGCAAAGTCATAAAACTGGTCGGTGGAGCTTTTGCTTTATAAATATTTATTTTTCTTTTTTTTTTCTTGTGGTGATGTTCTTTGTACATGCGAGTGATTTCTTTTTTGTGGAAAATATTTAGGAGTCTTTTTTTTAATATTTAGGAGTCATTTATTTTGCATTTGGTGATTTCAATCATTTATTTTTCTTCAGCAAAATTAATAGGTTATGGCTCAGGGGATTTATGGTTTAGATTTTTTTTGAATGGTTTTTAATGAGTTTGCATAGTTGATTTTTGGATGTGCAGGTTGTCTCAGCTGCATATGCAGATCAATATTATTAATGAGGCTATTAATTATTATAATTGGCTCTATTTGCCAGAATAACAATGCTATAATCGGTATTCAATGCATACTTGAAAATAATATTTTATACTAATATATTCTATACATTTATGTATTTACGAGTAATAAATTTAATAGCAGTAATAATTAATAATGAAAGTTTGTCATAGTAAAAGTTAATAAAATAAAAGTACATGAGATCTATAATAACTACTACAGTCGTAATGATATAGTAGTAAAAAAAATATATATATGATAAAGTTAATAATAATAAAATTCATAACAGAAAAAATACTAATATTGTTGCATTCTAGAATATTCATGGTGGCTGAGGGAGTTTATCAATTTAACATTTGATTAAAGCCTTCTACCCATTGATAAATAAAGTATGGCTCATAGTAGGCACAATATTTTTTACATTGAAATTTATGAACAAAAAAATTATGTGGTCCAGTTGAAGTAGTTTCACTATTTAATTAGAGAGTTATGATGGCTGGCCCATTCCTGTTGTTAGAAAGGATTGGATACAAGGTTTCAACTATGGTAGTGGTTTCATGTGAAGATGTGGAGAATATTGTAAAATTATCAAAGGTTGCTGGAGTTGGTCGACTATAGAAAGGTGAAGGCAGGCATTGTCATCTGCTAACATAAAAAGTGAAAGATGAGTATCATTATTGATTGATGATGGACAATGGTGTTAGTCACTGGTAAGTAGTAGCATTTGTCAAATGCAGATAATGCATTTAGCCAACGGTGAGCGGCGGATGTTGGAGTCAGTCGATAGTTGGCAAATGTTGGTGCTGGTTAATGAAGCTTTGAAATTCTTTTTGGTGCTTTGGTTTATGCTCTTCTTGAATTTTATCTTCCCATAATGTATATAAGCAATTCCTATTTGTATATCTCTAGGCGATATTATGGTCGTTCCTCTTATAAATCAAAACACACCTTGGACGGTTTGAATTGATCCTCTTACTTATGTGTATTTTTTGGACATTCTATTGTTTTTATAAATTTGAAATTGGTTGTTTCTTGGTTTGTCGTACTTGTCAAGCTGCTTGTTTCGACTATAATCACACAAAATTTAATCTTCATTTGACCTCGAGAAGTTTCTAGTTTTGCTTTTATGTACATGATTTGAGTTTGTCTCTTATAAACCCAAAGGGACGTTGTAGGTATTGACGTTTTCTTATGTAGGTCTTGATTTTATCCAAGGCTCAAAATTTACTGCAAGAGGCATAAATGTTAGCAAAAACAATGGTTCATTTTGCATACCACAAGACCAGAGTATTCCTTTGAGAATGGGGTCAAGCGTCCTTTTTTTGGACTGATTATACTCAAGGAAAGGTGTCCAAAATTCATAATTCCTTTAGCCAGTTTTCTATCTTCCTCTAAAAATCGATTATTATTTCGGAGGGATTGAATTTAATGAGAGGTATGTGAGCTTCATAATCTCTGCGATGACTCTGATGTTCCTCTAAAGTCTACTCAATTGTCTTCATTTGAATGGATTAGATTCTAGTAAAGGTGTGGTATGCGCATGATTTTTTTAGCGAGGATTTAATTCTCCCATAAAATTGGGCTCAGTTATTTTTGTTTGGATGGATTACCTTTGAGAAAAGGTTTTTGAGCTCATATTTTTTGTGATAAGGCTTTATTCTTTCTGAGAAACATGATCACTTATTCTCATTTGGTCAGAGATGATTTGAGAAGAGGTGCCTGAGGCTTATAATTGTTATGGTCCTTGTGGCCAGGCTTCAAACCTTCTTTGAAATTAAAATTAACTATCCTTATTTAGAAAGATTAGAGTCGAGTAGAAGTTTATATTATGACCTTCCATTAACGAGGTCATCTAGGGGTGACGCTAAGATGGGGTTCTTCTAAGAAAATCGATTGTTGGATTGGAACTTGAGTTTTGCAATTTTGATCGATTTGAGCCGATCTTTATTGGTTTTCCTTTATTTTTAGCAATTTTCAAATGGAATTAGGTCATTTTAATTTTAAAAAATATTTTCATTTTAGGATTTCCTGATATTGAAATTGTTATGTTTCTTAATTTGTTGAATTTCTGTGATCAAATCAATAATTAAAATAAGTTTGAATTTCTTATGCATGTTGTTGACATTATGAGTTAACTTTATGATTTTTTTCGTGACATGGTAGTGTCATTTAATAGGGCAGAAAATAAAAAAATCATGATTTGTTGAATCTGCTATTTCTCTAAGAAAATTTAATGACCTCTACAAATTTTTAAATTGGCTTTTTTTCTTGAATACTTTTTCTTGCAGTATATAATTTTCAGGAAAAAGAAAGTTAAAATTTCTTACTACTAAATTTTCGATAAAATTTTTTGAAGTGGTTGTTAGTTGACAATTGTGATGTTTATTAATTTGATGGATTTCTGATATCAAATCAATAATGAAACATTTCTTTTTTTTTTACCTTGTTGCTAGCATCATGAGCTGTCTCCACAGATTTTCTCATGCAAAAATAATATCATTTAATAGGGTGGAAAATTGAAAAATCATGATTTGTAAAATCTACGGCTAATCTGCTTGTAAACATTGAAAATTTTTTTGTGACTTGTACACTTGTTGTAATTTGCTATAATTTTTCTTATGGTTGCTCCTCTTGATTTGTATAAATTTCATTAAAAAAAAAATAAAAATTTCATATAGTTCTTCCTTAGAAATATTGAAATGGTTATTGGTTGGCAACTCTTGCATTATGTTATCATGTAGAAAATCCATTGATAAGTCAAGCAAGTGAGTTTTCTGATATTCTTATTGCTGTTGGAAAGAGAAATTTCTGATTTGTGTGATAACATATAGTTTATATTCCTTAATGGTTACTTCAGATCATGATGAAAAATAGCAAAACTCGCATCTACTTTCAAGCATGTCTTGTGGTGGAGGGAAAAGTGTGTCATGAATGAGTTGAAAAGTTGCGTCAAGCTCGTCCTTCTCTTAACTGGTCTAAGTTGGGCATTTTGTGGAAAATTAATCTTATATAACAAGATTAGGTGTCACATAATTTAATTTTAGGTGTCACCTCGTAAATATTTATGCTTTTCTAACCGTCACTTTTCTTTTACAGAAAATTATTTTACTGCAGGAAAGATAACCTGGCAATGGAGAGAATGATCCATGCTTCTCTGAAACTAAACATATCTTCAAGTAACATCAAAAAATGAAAGAGAATATGCACTGCTACTTAGCCCTATAGGATGATTGTATTGAGTATCAATCGAATTGTAGTGTTTGGGTGATTACTCGTGACCCTTGAGCCTTTTTGTAGACAGCTATCGTCTTCAAGGACTTATCCCCTTTAAGATATCAAGCCTTTTAGAGTATTTCATTGTGGTATGAAACCTCCAAGCTTTTTTATGTTAATAAAAGTTTTGGTCATCAGAGTGAGACCTTTGAGATGATATTGAGAGTTATTGCTACCAAAGTGAAATAGAGTATATTTGATCAATTGAGTGATTGAGCCGGGGGAGTCTTTATTACTTTTGTATTCTATTTTTATGAGTTTATTGTGATAATATGTCTCAATAGAGTATCTTTAGCAAGGACCTTGGATAGCATTGATGCCCTTTAGCAGTTCTAAATTATCTAGTGTTTTTAAATAAACGTGGACCATGTATCTTCTAGATTCTATGCTCTTGGATTTTTTAAGTGGAATTTTATACTTTTTGAGGTTTATGTCTTTCGATATATTTTTTTTCATATATATATATATATATATATATATATATATAAAAAAAAATATATGTAAAGTAATATCCCTTTCCACAAATATTTTGGTCATCGAGGGTCTGGTTAGGTTGAAATTAATATATATATATATATATATGAATTTTTTATCTTTTAATCTCTAATCTTTTTCTTTTTTGGTTAGAAAAGTGGAGATCATGTATCTCTTGAGGTATGTTTCTTTAGAGATCTTTTGAAGAAATAGTGATTTTATAGATTACTTTATCTCATGAAGATGTTCGAATGGAAACGGCCTAATGTTAAGTACCCTTTGAGGCAATCATATTGGTGATAGGATTACTTTATCATAGTTGTCAAAGGTGATGGGATTCATTCATTGGTTTGTTGGATGTAATATAAGAGAGTTAGTGATTGGTTTCCTCTGCACGTGGAACTTAATCTTTAAGTAGGGAATATAAAAGATTGTCATAAAGTTGCATAAGAGAGGTTTATTGAATCTTGCTCCATAGATTGGGTAAAGTTCTGCCGTCATGAATGAATTGAACTAGATGATTTGGCCACAAAAGTGGTTCACCTATCGTGAATGAACAAGTGATTATGCCAAAACTCTTGTGGTTTATCTTCCAAAATCATGAATATTATGAGAATGAGTTTGAAGCTTATTGTTGATTAATCCAAATTCATGAAAATAGGGAGGGGATAAAATACCCATCTATTGCATGTGTCATCCGGAACTTTTATAGTACTTGTAGGAGGGTCTTAATTCTAGCAAAAATGTTAAGAGAATATTTATGCAGATTGTGTATCCCATCAAGGTCAATGTATGTCATCAACAGTAATTTTATTATTCTCACGTGCATCTCCTTGAACATGATAATATATAAGCCTTGGTTTTACTCCTATGATAGTATTGGTGTTTCCAATGACTTCATTATCTAGGGTCTGATGATCTCCTTTGTCATGAGATTAGTGGTATGTGAATTGATCCTGTAAATAGTTGTTCTTTGCGAATCAAACATTTAACAACTTTCTTTAGATGAAGGTATTTTTCTATCAAATGTTCGTTTGAACTATGAAAATAATAGCATAAGGAGTGATCTGCCTTGTTTGAGTTTTCTAAATGCTTTGACCACTTGCGATGTTCAACATTTTTTATCTTCATGCAAATGGTAGCTCTAGATGCACTTAGTGTTTGGAGACAGGTGGTTGAAATTATTTTTATTGGGACCATTGAGATTGTTGAGGACCCATGGTATTTTTGCCACTCCTATTAATAACTACATTGAAGAGGGTAGTTAGCCTATAAGTTCTTACATATTTAGTTACTCAAATCATTTTTGGTGAGCATTACTCGACCATAATTCGGGCTTCAATACAATGAGTGAGGTTAGTGTAAGAAGAGCGGTTTGTGAGTAGATGGACCATGATAAAGGCCATTGTGGAAGAAGTCCCCTTGCAGTTTGAGATCAACTCTTGGAATTGGAGATTCACTAAATGTACACTTCAAGTGGTTTCCTCCATTCTAGTGGTTCTCCCAAAGATTGTAGGAATTTTTTATGATTCTTTCATTTATAATGAACATATTCACAATAGCTTAGTTTGATTGGATCATGAAAATGATGACTTGAGGTGAATGATCACTCTCCTGAGTGCAATAAGAGAAAGAAGATTATCGTGGAAGATGATGAAAAAATGCAGAACTTCTAGCAAAGTCCTCATCGAATTTTATTTCATGCACCTCTTTAGTCTTTGAACTCATGCCACCCCATCTCTTATTCTTTCGCTGACATTTTCTTACTCCTTTCTCTCCTCTATATATATTTATATATAGATATCTGCGTGTGTGTCTTTTGATCAACCTCTCAACTGCTTTAGCACCTCCCTTGTCATGAGTGGCGTGTAACCCCTCCCTTCCAGTCTTGCGTGATTTCTATACAAATGTTGCGTGCAAATTTCAATTCATCATCTTAATAACAAGAGAAATAATGCTGTCTTCTTATTTTGATGTAATTTTACATCATAATGAGTCCATTTATTTAATTAAGTCTTTAATCTTATTTCAACGTCTCTTATAATTGATCTATTCAAAATTTACTTGTTTTTAATATGTCTAGATAATAGTATATGATTTATTCAGGACTTAATCAAATATTATTTGATCAAATGTGATCCAGTTAAAAACTTTCTAATAATCAGGCCTCATGCTATTTAAATTTAATTAGTTTTTTTAGTTTTTTAATCAAACTTAATTAGCCTATTAATCATATTTAATTATTTTTATGATTTACTTGAATCATTGCAGGATAAAAAATTTACCTTCTTTTTATCAGATAGCTCATTTTGAATGAATTTGTCAATTTTGAGTGCTTCCAATTGTATTAATTTTCATGACAGTGGAAATGTTTATCTTGTTCTTGTAGAATTTTGGTTCAAGGATAGACACAGTTTTCTGTGGGGTTTTTGATGGACATGGGCCATTTGGGCATCTGGTAGCAAGGAGGGTGAGAGATTGTCTCCCTCTCAAGCTGAGAGCCCATTGGGAAGTGAATTTGGGAGGTGACGAGTTAAGGCAGAACAGCATTAGCACAACAGGGAGCTTGACCTCAGAAGAAAATGCATCTATAGTTTTAGATGACGATTTAAAGGCTTCCAGTGATTTTGAAGAGGAGAAGCTTCCCGAGGTCTTCACCACTTTGAAGGAGTCATTCTTGAAGGCATTCAAGGTCATGGATAAAGAATTAAAATTGCATCCAAATATTGATTGTTTCTGCAGCGGTACAACTGCCGTCACCGCACTGAAGCAGGTAAAATTTTCTTTTGAATGTTATTTTTTTCTGGAAAATTTACATACGTACCACAAAATTCCTATGTATTACTCATCTCACACCTAAACTTCAATATTTACATACATAGCACTTTGCTTCTTTAAACCTATCATGAAAAGGTGTATTTCAATTTTAAAAAGTGATAGTAGTGCTATTTTTTATATGATTTTAAAGATTTGAGTGCTATGTGTGTAAATATGAAAGTTTAGGTGTGAGATCTATAAATATATAAAAATTGTGTACTATATATGTAAATGCCCTATTGTGTAACTAAATGATCTTTTCTGAACCTTTGTTTTTCGCCATGGATCTGCTCTTTAGGGTCAAGATCTTGTCATTGGAAATGTTGGAGATTCAAGAGCTGTTTTAGGTACTAGAGATCACAATGACCACCTGGTTGCAGTTCAGTTGACCGTGGACCTCAAGCCAAATCTTCCAAGTATGAATTTCAAATTTATGTTCTGTACATACTCTATTATATGTTTATTCACGTCCACAATTTCTGAGTTTTTTCACATCAGTTATATCGGATTGAAATGGCAATATCTTATTTCTTGTCTATCTGATGATATGTGATTTATATCATGAAGATGATAAATATTTAGCAAATCCGGACATTTATTTGGTGTGTACTTTTCATGAACTAGCAATATGTTTGATTCAACTAGAAGAATACATTGCTGGAAAAGGTCGTTTTGATGTTCTGAAAGTACTGGCAATGTTATTCCTTTTCTCCTACATATTTTCACTTGTGATAAAATGTGAGCTATGCTGTGCTAAATATATTGTGCTCAACAATTTGGTTCTCCAATACCCCTACTTCATTATAACAGAATATAACTGTATTTAGCCCATTCCATCGTTTTTCTGGACCATCACCTCTCATATGCCCAAATAGTAGAGATAAGTCTGGTGATGATGATGCTGGTAAACTATTTATTTATTGGACTATAATAGTTTGTATTGACACATATTTCATCAGCATCTATTTCAGATTTTCTTTATGGACCATATTTTTCTGATTAAATTTTTTGAGAAACAAGCTCTTGGTGCTGTGGATCAAGATCATTAAGGCTTTGTTGGTTTGTAGCCCTTGGTTTGATGCCCATCTTCATGTGATGGAAATGTGGTTAAAGTGAATGAAATTCTAATTCTTTATTGAATGTCCTTGCATTCTCATAAAGATTCATTAGTATTTGTCACTACGAGTTTAATTACTGTAGTTACTAATAAGAATTGGAGAGAAATAATTGAGTATGTCATTTTATTTCATTTCAACATTTATATTATATTCATACAAACTTTGGAGAGGCAATAGGAAATATACGAAATTAGGGAGTAATAATTACATTATAATCATATTTGCTTACAAATTGATGAATAAGTAGAATAGTTGTTACATAATAATTGGAATAGTCAACAGATTGATGAGTGAACTTCAGGAATTTCATGGATTAGTGAGCTGGTAATGAAAGAGGATGGAAGGTTAGTCTTGGTGAGTGTTGTCGGCTATTTTTCTTCCGAAAAAATAAGATTTTTAAAATTTAAATTTGGAATTTAATATATATATATATATAATGTAATTTTGGTTTTGTGAAAATGGTATCTTTTATTTTTAGAAAATAATGAGACCGAATAGACCTCATATATCTAATAGTTTAAATAGCTGAGCACGATACCATAAATGATATATCATCTTGAAGGATAGACGTATCACTTATCGGTAGACTTAACTATCTCAACTTAAAAGTTTATGACTCTATTTTGGTCTGCGAAATCTATAGCCGACAAATTCTCCTATCTAATACACATATCAGATAGGGTTTAGATTAATCTGGGTTCTTAAATTCCCTATAGGAGCAAACCCTTATAGTTAATTAAATCTTAGACAATCGAAGTCACCTAAGAAAACTCTCGATAATGATCAGATGTTTCGTCTTTAAGAATTCAACGTTCAAGTTTTCACGATTGTTCATCGGAAAAGTCAAATGGGATAGGTTCAAATAGGAATAATTATTTTCAGAATCCAAAGAAGTGAAAAGTAGGAAATGTCGAAGATACTGAATAATAAATGTCGAAGATACTGAATCGAAGATACTGAATAATATTCAGTGACATTTCAAACTAATCTACGGTTTGGCTTTACGTCTTTGAAAGAGAAATTATTTGATGTTTCAGTTCTGTAATTTATTTAGATGTTCGGAACTTGTATCTGCATGTCATATGCAACTAGCCTGAGAAAATGTGAGGATTTATACCAGACAACAACCTTGGAAAGTCTAAAAAGTTTATGACTTATATCGTACGATATGAAAATCGTAGAAAGTCCCACAAGATAATGTGAGGATTTACGTCGTGCCAAATGAACAACCTCAACATCCTATGAGTATGTTATTTAAATCTATCGAGGTTCTGCATAAGCTCATCCTTCAGTCTTTGGTAGTTGTCTCGACCGTTGCCCGGAGATGAATCGTCAACCAACCACGTCGTCGTCTCGTTCCGAAAAGAGGAGAGAGAGCAGAGAGAATAATAAAAAAAACCATGCCTCGAACGGCCTTTCCTAGGGGATAGCACAAAAAAACTAAAAAAGTAGCAACTAAAGTATGAATACTGGTAAATGTATACAGTACAACAAAGAACAGACAAAAAGACCATGCTGTAAGATGTGATAGGAATGTGCATGAGACATATAGCGAAATATAGTATGGTACAAAATAAAAGGAAATATACAGAAAATAAAGTACGGAAATTAAATAAATAAAAGTATACCTGATCAAATTCTTCTAAAGCTTTAAAACAGATTGTAATTGTATGATATAAATGTGTCAGGTAAACATTTGCAGATTATAAAAGAAAGGTTAAATGATGAGCATATGAAAGTTTCAAGATGGGATATTAGATTTCAATTTGGGGATAAACTCAGACTAGACTCATTTTCTCTCTCTATCTCGATCCCACAGGCAACTGATATATCGAAGTCAACCTATCAACATCAACTAGAGGCCACCAACGAATCACCCCTATAGTCAGACAACCCTAGAACCTATCGTTTAAAGGATGTGTGAACGGAGTAATATCTGAACTCCTCAAAGTGTAGTGCACCTATGTATGAAATGTAGCATCTGAACTCATCAAATTGTAGTGGACCTATATGTGAAATGTAGTATCTGAACTCATCAAAGTGTAGTGCACCTATATGTGCAACTGATATATCGAAGTCAACCTATCAACCAATCAAATAAAGATGTGTTGTATCTGTATGTGGTGTGTAAGATGTACTATGTGATGTATGAAATGTACGTGTAGGTGATATCCAATGTATGCATGTATTAGTCAGGATATGATGTCTACAGTGTAGTGTTGTATCTGTTCTTTCGCGATTGTAGTATTTGTAGGGTGTTTGTAGTATTTGTTCTTTTGTGGCTGTAGTATCTGTGTAGTGTCTGTAGTATCTGTTCCTTTGTGATTACCGATTCTCGAAACTTTTGAAAAAGGGTTGGAGCTGTTAACGATCTAGGGGTGAAAGGGCATCACACTAATTGAATATTGATTTTATATTTTCAACTATAAACTGAGCTGTCAAATGGTTCTTTGTATTCAACCACCTCAATATTTCATATACTCATCCAACAAAATTTCATATAGCTCATATCAAGAAAATGAGAGAAGTAATCATTTAAGCATTTCTATGACAACCGTCTTCCACCTTTAGGTTCAAACTTACGAAATTTATGTAAACAGGAAGCTAATCCTAACAAAAGATAAAAATTGGCTCCAAATATATATTCCAAAGCATAAAAATAAATTCCAACGGGTATTCGAACAAGGAGCAGTATGGAGAACCGAAACCGACCCCAAATATATTTTCCAAGCCATAAAAATGATTTCCATCATATATTTGAACAAAGGACAACAAGGAGAACCAAAACCCAAATTCCAAATGTATTTCCAATAATGTTCGAACAAAGGGGGCAGCAAGGAGAATAAAAAAAAACGAGCCCCAAATGACTATCCAAGTCATAAAAAATGTTTCCAATGTTGAAGTTCAATTAAAGAGAGTTATAGGAAACATAATTGAACTTCAACATAAGAGCCAGATCAAATCCAGCAAACAACCGAAAGGAATAGGCCACCAATAAGCCAAAACCGAGCCACCAAATGGCTATCCAAGTCATCAAAATTGATCTCAAGCATGTATTTAAATACGAAATAGAAAAGAGAACCAAAATGAATTCCACATGTGTTTCCAGCAATGTTCGAACAAAGGGGGCAGCAAGGAGAATAAAAAAAACCGAGCCCCAAATGACTATCCAAGTCATAAAAATGTTTCCAATGTTGAAGTTCAATTAAAGAGAGTTATAGGAAACATAATTGAACTTCAACATAAGAGCTAGATCAAATCCAGCAAACAACCAAAAGGAATAGGCCACCAAAAACCGAGCCACCAAATGCCTATCCAAGTCATTAAAATATTTCCAGCATTGATATGTAAAGACAACCATGGTATAGATATTCACAAAGAAACTTTGTTTCTTCATCAAAGAGATGATCAAACTGAATTATCATTTCCATTTGATCTATCCATTTCATAATTCAGGGGAGATTATCACATAGACAACTAATCCAAATATTAAACAACATTCTAGGAATAAATGAAACCTGACCTTAATTCCTTGTTAACGCAGGAATGAGAAGAGTAAGAAAATCCTAAAATAGAAACTTCAAACAGAGAAAGAGCTCTCAACACCATGTTTCTCCAAAAATCTCTAAAGAATAATCGCAGCCCAATCTTGCTCAAGCACTCGAAAAAGAGAGCTGAATTTCTTGCTAGCTCAAGAAAGGAGAGGGTGGGGAAAATTGCCAGTAAGAACGCTTCCAAACAGAAAAAAAAGCAACACTATATCTTTTCCAAAATTTCAAAAAAATATCGTTTCCCATCTTCTCCTCCCATGGGGTATTTATAGGTAGAGATGAGAGAACGGCTCACCGACGGTGAAAAACGGGGAGGTGAAAAGAAACACCTCAAAGGGCAAAGAGAACGTTCAAATTCAAGAACGAGAAGGTTACCAGACTCGTTTAGGCGGGAAAGTTCGTTACAACAGGCTACCGGCGAGGCTACTGACGACGAAGGCTCGGAAAGGGAAGGGATGACCGACAAACCGACAAAGGGGCTCTACGGTTCGGCTAGGGCAAAGAACAGAGATGCGAGGGAGAAGTAAAAGAAAAAATTTAAAAGGGCGCTCGGGCGGTGAGCATCGGGACGGTGATGGGAATCACCTACGAAGGGTAAGTAACACAACAAGATTCGAAATAGGAAGGTTACCGGACTCGTTTAGGTGGGAAAATCCGTTAGAGACGGGCTACCGGCGAAGCCATCGACGACGAGGGCTCGGAAAGGGGGAAGATGACCGGAAGACCGGCAAAAAACCCTCAAGTTTCGGTCAAGAGAGGAGAGGAGAAAGAAATTTCGGCTAAGGCAAGGAACGCAAGCGTGAAAAAAAAGGCGTGAGATTATTTTTTATTTTTTTTTAGGGATTTTAAAAGTTAAAAAAAAAAATATCAAATTTTGTGAAATTCGTTCATGTGCGGCACCCAACAAAATGGTTGTCCTCCCTAGCTAAAATCGACATTCCGGACACGACGACGTAATCCGTTTCGTCATCCGGAATCATCTGGATAAATTCGTCGACGATCGCGCCAAATTAACTTCGATTCGCGCGTGACACTACAAATGAAATTATTTTGACCCAACCGGAGCCGTTTAACGAACGATTGATGACCGATCCTCGCCTAAATGACAACCATAGTCAAATAAACTGCTTGCGGCAGAAAGTCAGACGTCGAACGTAGTGGCGTCCCCCTATGTCTTTCAAATTTCTATAGGAGTCCAATTTGAGCTTCAATATGCCGGCTTTTCGATCGACTCAACCGGATATTGAGGATCTAAAACCGTCCATATGAAACTACAAAGAGTAAAAAAATGGCTTGAATTTCTAAAGGGGGTGAGATCCAGTCTAGTCCTCTAAGAGAGTCAAAACAGAGATCTTAAGGCTAGATCCTAGGGTATCTAGAGAAGGGAAAAGAAGACCTCAAAAATGAGGTCAACAAGCGTCAGAACCAATTGGCGGAAATTATGCGAGAATTTCTCTCTCTAAATGCAAATGAATGAGTGCCATCCATTCCAAGCTTGCCTGATAATTTATGAAAGCTATTCCTGATAATCCTTTGGTGAAAACATTAGCAATCTATTCGTCTATTGTTGAAGTATTTCACGTGCTCATAGAAATCGTTTTATATTTTTGTGCCTTGTAAATGACCTAATTTTCCTTTTTAAAACGTTTGTCAATCGATTGTGACCACTTTATATAGCACTTTTCATTCAACAATTACGTTGAATGGTTGTTTTAATCTGGAAAACTGTGAATCTTTCATAAATTTGATAATTTATGAAAGCTATATGTGGGAATCTTTATTATTATCTATGAAGAGGAAAACTGTGAATCTATTCACAAGAGAATTTAAAAAAAAAGGAAAGAAATGCAACAATGCAATGATGAAGGCTTGAACAATGAGACCAATTTGTGGTAATACAATAATGAAGGCAATGATAACGAAAAATATTTGTGACAATTTAATGATGAAAGCTGCAGTTATAGAAAAATAAGAACAAATGAAGAGAGTGCGGCGATAAAGGCAGCGGGATTACGGTAATACAGTGATTAAGACTATGATAATAGAAATACAATAGAAAAAACTTTGGGCTCTGAGGCCAAATCAAGAAAGGTTTGATTATTGTATTCTAACCTTGTAAAGTATTTATATTTCTCAGAGAGGTTTAGTAGGAAACATAAAAATTAAAATAAAAATTATAAAATTAATACAATAGTCTATTGAATGATAACCAGATAAAATCATAATTACAAAATAACATGCTGGATGCTAATGCAAGTACATGTTAAATTAATGTTCCTCATGCTTGTCATTATTTCATAAATCTTGGGGGGTTTCATCTAGAATTGTGGCTTACCCTTCTCATGATTCGTAAGTGATAAGATTCATAAATTCCTCAAATTTTGTTGATTTAATATGCTCTTATCTGCATCGACTCTGTTCCCATCTCTATGTTGCCTGATTGCACTTGGTTAGCTCACTTTAAATTTTGGTCTGAATTGATGAGAAAATGCCTTGACAGACAAAATAGGTTCTAAATGCAGGTCATCCTACTTTATATCTATTCTTACTAGGATTCTATTTTTCTTCTTGGATATAGTAAGTTTAGGATTTTAGAGAAAATATTGTTTGTTTCATGTACTGATTTGAGTAAAATATTTGTTTTTGAGCATTAGTAAATTTATGGGCATACTTATTCTAGTTCATTGTTATATCTTTTCTTTGCGAGGTTGGAAACAGTTTCAGAAATTATGTTAACTTTAGTCTCAAACATTTTGCAGTTGTTTCATAACTTATTATGCTCAGTGGCTAAATAACATTGAACGACATAGTATTAATTCGGGCACCCATTTACCTGGAATTTCTACAAGTGATCTTATCGCAACGTCCTAATAGGCATTGGACGAACATTTGTACACTCTCATGTGTGCTTTCAGATAGGCGCATGCAAACGTGAACGTGTGATACCAGAACTAGTGGAAAGAGTAAAAACACAAAAAATAATCTTTCATTAATGTTAAAATAAGATTACATCATGACTCGAATGGAAATAACAACTCACAACATGAAACGACACCAACAACACTCCTAAATGTATCCGAATGGGTGGTGGAGGTTGGCTAGAGGGATGGGGATGATTGAAAGGGGTGACGACAGCCACAGGAGGCAGGTGGTAGGGAAGAGAAGGTGTGGAATTGAAGGAACAACAAGTATGAAGGGTTGTGGGTGTTCGACAATGATCATGTGGTTGTTAGGAGAAGCTTGAAGTGGGCGGCGGCTAAGGGGAGTGAAAGAGATAGGTTGGGGATGATAAAAGGGGAAGATACAATCACCACCGCGAGGGGATATCACCGGAGCACCTCCAACTCCTCGGATACAGTCCACTAAGGGGAAAGAGACTCCACAAACGAGATCTGAAGCTAAACTCAAACACAACTCTAATTTGACTCCCTCATACCCAAAGGACAGCAATTTATTGACTCCTAAAGGAAGCTTCTACACAAAGGAAGAGAGTGGGAAACCTGGAAAAATCCAGAAGATCCAAATTCCATTGTTGGTGCTCATATGGATCGCGCATGTTCGCGATCCCGTTCGCCTTTGCTCGTGATCGCAGACTCGCGCGACTGTAACAGTGTCCCGGGAAGCTCCCAGGGTTCTGGCCCAGCGGGATTGAAGCGCTCCCTCTTTGTGGCGCATACAGCCCCCGCATCAATGTATCTATATGAAAGTATGATTTTGGTGTTGTAGCTGTTGCGTTGTATTACTAGACATAGATTTTACATAGTATATGCAGAACCACAAGTTTTATTTAGATATCTGAAAGTGTAGCTAAAGGGCTGATTTTTTGGTTTTGAAAGGAAGCTCCTCTTCGTCATTTTAAATTAATAGGTACTTAATTTCGAAGCATCACTGCATTGCTCCGCTTGAGGTTGCAACTTTTGTGTAGCCTTGTGTATTTATTTATGTGCAATGTTTAGGGTTTGCATTAGTGTTTACTCTTTGCTCATCTAAATTGAGAGTTTCATTTACTAGCTGTTATTCTATTGTGAATTAACTTTTGCTCAGATATCCCTTTGTTGATATCCCATGGTTTGGAAAGTATTCCGTTAAATATAAGTCCTTTAAGAGCAAATGTTTGCAAAGTAAGGCATAACAATATTTAGGGTTAAATAACTTAGAACTTTTTAATATAACAAATAGATTCGATAGTGGAAACTCAGTTTGTTTGATTCTTGAACATATCATTCAGAGAATTCTGTTCCAGCATCAGCTATTCATTTGTACGTGTAAATATGATACCATCTGTCACCTTGTTTATATTAGCTTTGTTTCAGTTTCATTCTTTGCTAGTTACATTATGCTCTTGATTTTTTTATAGATTTCTGGAAATTCATCTTCTTGTGATTTGAGAAACATGCAACTGTTACTCTGGTCCTTGGTATAAAAGCTTTTATAGAACTTGCGTGGACCCGCTTCATGGTTCATGGAAATTTCACTAATTTCTCCTACAGATTCCGGTAATTACAGGATATCTCTACTTGATCTATTTCACAAACCAGACTTTAGGATATTAATTCAAAGACATCTCATTGTAGGAGAAATTTCACTAATTTCTCCTACAGATTCCGGTAATTACAGGATATCTACCCTCTACTTGATCTATTTCACAAACCAGACTTTAGGATATTAATTCAAAGACATCTCATTGTTTTTAACTTATTACACTGGATTCAGACCTTCTAAGCAGAATTGGATCGCCTTTTCCCCTCTTTATTATTATTATTTTGTTTGCTTGGGGTAGTTGAAAGGTACGAGGCTAAGTTTTAGAGCATCTAATTTAGGGTTTAGGGTTTAAAGGAATTCAGTAAAAAACTGTGGAAGATTTGGATGAAAACTATTTCATGTATAGTTAGTATAAAAGGATTTTCATGAAGGGATTTCTCACAGATTTTCTAAAGCTAGACTGAAGAGTTCATCAAGAAACTGATTAGAGACTGCTAAGAGTTCAAGATCTCTAGTTTTGAATATTTTTTGTTTTCACAAAATATTTAGGAGTAGAGAAAAGAATTTTAGATCAACAACTTTATTGGCTGAATAGATGTTCATTAGTTAATGGTGCTTATAAAATAGACTTGTCCATATTTTTGGTAAGGAAGTTTATGCTTGATCCCAGATCATATGGTATGGAAAAGGGCAAAATTGCCTCAACTGATAATGTGAAAAACCACTAGAAATTTTCATTGACCTTTTTTTATCTTCAGAACTTCTGCTTGTTTCTGATATATATATATATTTTATTCTAGCCCTATTTCGCATAATTTGAATTACACAATCATCTCATTAATTGACAGGAGAAGCAGAGAGAATCAAACGATATAGAGGAAGAGTCTTTGCTCTTCAGGACGAGCCAGAAGTCGCACGGGTTTGGTTGCCAAATTACGACTCCCCGGGCTTGGCGATGGCTCGTGCTTTTGGAGATTTCTGTCTCAAGGACTTCGGCCTGATCTCCGTGCCCGAGATCTCCTATCACCGCATCACCGAAAAGGATGAGTTCATTGTATTGGCCACTGATGGGGTAATTCAATGAACCACAATCTTGCCTTTCTGTGTTTCTTCCAACTAATGTGAAAATTTTTATCTGTTAACTTCTCATGAACAAAACGTACTTGTTCTTTACCACTCAGATCTGGGATGTGCTTTCAAACAAAGAAGCCGTGGACATCGTCGCTTCCGCCGCTGCTCAATCTTCTGCCGCCCGTTCCTTGGTTGAGCATGCAGTTCGTGCGTGGAGGTTAAAGTACCCAACCTCCAAAGTAGACGACTGTGCCGTCGTGTGTCTATTTCTCAACACGAATGATCCCAAGATGAAAGAATCATCCACAAACACACCATTAATGGACATTCCTAAGCAGGACCCAACCACACCAAATGACTCAACTAGCGTTAAGTCTTCAGTTACCCTCCAAGGCGAGGAGAGCAGGTCTAGTGTCCCCGAGCAGCTTTCTGATGAGAATAAGGAGGACTCGGAAGCCATGGAAAGCGAGGATTGGTCGGCATTGGAGGGCGTGACGAGGTCGAACACCCTGTTGACCTTACCGAGGTTTGCTGAGGGTGAGCAGCAGCCATCTGCTGCTGCCAACAAGGCTAAGAAGCAAAGCAGCTGATGTGTTGTTTTTGCTCTTGTTGATTTTGGGAACCATAGTGAGAGCAGTACCGGCTGTATTAGTGTGTCCGGGTGTTCTCTTTCTCCATCTTCTTCTTCTTCAATGTTCTTTGTATCAGAGTCGTGAGTAGGATTGGAGTTTTAGTAAAATCCCAACTCAGTCATCAATGTGATATGTATTGAGCAGTACCATTTAGAAGCTCTTCATTTGTATTCCTTGGTTAATATTAAAATATTTGTCTTTATATGTATTGATTATTTACTTCTTTTTTTTTCAGTCAAATTTTGATTCAGTTTTATTTTATTTTATTTTATTTTTATTTTTGTTGTTGTTGGACCACTCTATAAGGGAAAAAATTTGCATACATACGACGTACGCATCTCTGCGTACGTCTGTAACTTGCAAACATGTTACAGGGAGGATTTTGGGAGGTTATAATCGCATAATCGCTTTATAGCCCCTGTAACCTCCCTGTAACCTACTTGTACCTTCTAGTAAGTTCCACACTTCTGTTTTCATATGAAAGTAGGTTACAGGGGCTATAACGCGGTTATAACCTCCCTGTAACCTGTTTGCAGGTTACAGACGTACGCAGAGATGCGTACGTCTTATGTATGCAATTATTTTCCCCCTATAAGATGCAACCATGGGACAAAATGCAGAATATTCTGCAACAAAAAATTTGTTTAAAAGTTTTTTCATGATTTTTCTGGCCTGTCATGGAAATAATCATATTAAATTCATTATTATTATTTTTTTTCATAAAAGATAAATAAATAAATCAAACCATTTCTTTTTAAAACAATTTTTTTTTTCATTGCAACAAACTAAACCATCACTCAAATATCTAATTATATCATTTGAATATATATTTTGGTGCATTTACATACATACCAGTCAATTTTTATATATTTACTTATCTAACATCTAATTTATTTTCTTACATTTATACCACCCAAATCGTTCACATCACATAAAAAAATAAAATTATATTCAGTTTTAAAAATTGAAATACAACTTCTCATGCATGTCAGATTCCATATTATGTAAAAATTAAAGTTTAGGTGTCAGATATGTAAATACATAAGAGTTAAGTGGTATGTACGCAAATCTTCTTTTTTTTTCTTTGTAAATACATAAGAGATGATATCATAAAAAAGATGGTTTATTACATTTCAATAAATCAGGAGGACATATTTGCAGGAGATAATGTTTCCACAAAGTAAAATGAAAAATCTATTTGAGTTATCAGATAGCTGCAGCAGCCAGCCATCTGCTATAGAAGGCCAATGCCTCCTCTGGCTTGTACTCTGCAACCGTATGGCCCGAACCCTGCATCATGCAGCACTAACATGAGAACAAATTTTTTTTGGGGGCATTTACATACATACCACCCAATTCCTTCGACCGCCCAATTCTTTCATATCACATCAATAACGCTATTTCTATCATGCATTGGTAAAGTGGCATATATATAAAAAATGAAGTTTAGATGTTCCGTATATAAATACATAGGAATTGGGTGGTAGGTATGTAAATCTTCCCTTTTTTTTTTTATTGCAATAACTTCATACTATGTAATGATGAGTGACAACAAAATTCCTGCAACCAGAAAATCTGACATTTTCTTTCAAGAGAATTGAGGAGGGAGCTTTTTGAAATGAAATTTTGAAATGTAATCTCAGTTGGTTATCCATTCTAGAGTTTATACCTTTATTGTGAGGAAAGTGAGGTTTTTGTCATAGCCTTGAGTGAACCTGCAGTCATTTACATTAAAACTTGCATATGAAAATGTGCATTTCAGCTTATTAAAATTAGTAATGGTAGAAAATGCTTCTAAAGAACAAAGAGAAATGAGGAGTATAGATATGTTAATGTACCCAGAAACTTGTCCTCCACTATACCATGGCCGCCATGGATCTGTAATTTTATATCCCAGTGACCTTGTCCATGCTTGAGTACCAGTGAAGGGCACACACATGTCATGGTCACCACTGCAAAATGTTTTCCAAGGAAATAAAATACTCGCTTTGTTCAAAACACGCGTAATCAATAAGAAAGTTAGGGCCAACTTGGCTCACCCAAGCCCAAATTTGCCATTAGGAAAAATATATTGCACAAATTTACCATTGTCTATGTATGCACATAGACAATGGTTGCTAGCTAACATTTAGATTGACTTTGTCATATCAGCACTAATTTATTCATGCTGAATATCATGTATTTTTGCAAAATTAATATGACATTATCTTAATAACATATTTGAGGAAAAATAATAATAAATACCTAAAAATTAGTGCACGATAGCCTTGGACTGTCAAGTTCTTGTGATACTTGATCATGCTTCCAGCATCATGACTGAAATCTATATTATCAGTGCATAGTTCCCAAGGACCAGTCACACTTTTCTGAGACAAAAGAGGGCAAAACAACATAAATTTCTAGATCATAAAACCACAGGACGAGCAGGACATAGTCATTAAGCCCCCAAAGTTTACCGGCTGAGCATGCAGTGCACTTCTTACTTCTTCATCATTCAACCATAAAGTCGCGAACTCGTCATTCTGCAGTCACATTAAGATAATCAATCATTTTTTGGAGGTGCAGATATCTTACATTTTACCAATTATATGCACTTGAAATCATGTTATACAACCTACTGTTAACAAAGCATGGCATGGAAAAGGAAAAAAGTCAGCAATTACATTTAAAAATGCTAAATATTGCAGAAGATAATAACTACAACATAATCAAAAGGAAAACCAAATATGCCTAACAAGTAGAGCAAAACAACTTCATTTTATCACAAAACCACAGCATTAACTTGATATTAAAATTCTGAGATGAAAAATCCAAGAGATCCATGAAAAATCCAAGAGATCCATTCAGATGAAAAATCCAAGAGATCCATTCAGAGATGAAAAATTCAAAAGATCCATTGTATATACCATGCATGGAACAGACTGACTTCCAAGTTCTGGCCATGTTGGTACATGCCCCTCCATGACTGGAGCCCACAAAGGCCACGCACGACCAAACATCCTTTTCCTCACTGGAAGAGGTCTATCGGTCTCACCAAGCCTACGGAAGCTTGATGGCAATTTTCTTCTCTGAGAGACATGAGAACTTGCAGTACTATGATAGCATGGTTCAAGAGTGTCATATATGTTCAGGTCCTGAAGGTCCTGATATGGGTAAAAATAATTAGAAAATTAAATCCAAAATTCATAAGATTTCAGTAGCTTTGTAGAAGCATTATTACAAAATCAATTTCGCTTAGCTTTTCTTCACATAATTGATTATTTGGATTCCAATAACTTCCATTGCATGCAGCATTAGTCCCCTGAAAGATTTAAAACTTCATTTTAATTTATATAAAGGATAAGATTAGTTTGCTAACTCTTTCGACATGAAAATTAAGTTTATTACAATTTTCATCAAACTTCATGAGTTAGGATTCATGATGATCATTCAGAGAAGTTATGAACCTGAAACATATCATCTGATATGAGACCCATTCCATGAGCAAATGGCACAAGAGCGTTACCATCATATACTGTGTCAGTGACTCCATTTCCAACCATGTAGCCCTGAAAAAAGAAAGATGAACCTAAACAACTATAATAAAATTTAATTATGTCTAATGATACACACAATTGTAAGAAAACAAGCTTGCTAAGAAACACGAGCGCGCAGACGGTTCTAACCTTGAAGTTTATAGTGGGCTTAATTCCAGCTTTTATCCCTGTTTTAAGTAATAAAAATAAAGAAAATCAAATAAAACAACAGAATTTCATGATAGTGGTATCAAAATTCATCATACCTACAGCAACCTCAGCAGCAAGGGTGGGAACATATACCCCAGCATATGATTCTCCAGATATATAAAATGGATTTCCAAGGAACTCTGGATATAGCTCAAACCACTGATGACAATAATTCCAAAAGAAAAATGATAGACATTAACCTTATAACCAAGGCATCTAATCTCCTTCATTATAAATCATTAACCATAAACCAACCGGAGGACTTGTTTAGAGTTTTATCAGTCAAAAAAGGCAGTTCGATCCAATTTTAAAACTATAGATTAGAAAGAATTACCTTCAAAAGAAATTGGTGAGAATCAGAGGCAGTCTTAAGATCTCCAGTAATGTAATCTGACCTATTAAGTGAATATGACAAACCAACACCAGCAGGAGAGTCCAAGTAGATAATACTAGAAACCTGAATTTCAAAAAAAAAAAAAAAACTTGTTAGTTATCCTCAATCAAAAAATGAATTTGAAAAGTAATATAAATTTACACCAAACTTCACAGCACATAAATAAATATAAAATATTTCACCTTAGACCAGCTGTAGGGATTCAACAGCAGCTCAGGCAAGCTTCCAGCTTTCACCCCTGGTTTAAAATTGAATGGACCTATGCATTTAAGATTAAAACACAGATTCAACAAGATCCATCAACTACCCACAAGCCATTCAGCTCTATCTTCTAAGAATAAATATATTAATTCAACTGAAAATCAAACCACAGAGAATCGGTTCTATAAAACAAAAATTACAGGCCAAGTTGCTGACACAAGATAGCAGAATTCTAAGCTGTCCTTGAAATGACATCACAACTCCTATATTGACAATCAAAACGGTAGAAAACAAAATACAATCCAAACTGAAGAATATTACAAATGTAATAAAACAGAGGAATCCACTGAATCAATTTTAGCAAATTGTTGATTCCTCTGTAATCTACAATTAATTCAGTCCAAAAAAGAATACATAAAACACTTTCCAGGGCACCTATCTGAGAAGAACTCAAACAATTCAAGGAATAAGGAAACCGTTACCATGCTCATAGACGAAGCCATCAAAACTAGAACAGCCTGGCCCCCCGTTGAGCCAAAGAACCAAAGGATCTTTCACCGGATTCCCCTCCGACTCCACAAAGTAGTAGTAAAGATTCTTCCCATGCTTCTCATCAATAGTCACATACCTTCAAATCCAGAGATGCAAGAAGAAGAAAAAAAGAGAATTAAACTCTCAATTTTGAATGCAAATTCTATTGATACAGAAATAAAAAAGGGGATATCGACCAATACCCAGAGTAATGCTTCGACGGAAAGGTTCCGCTGAAGCCGGGAAGATGGGAGACCAAAGCGTTCTCTGGCAGCGCAGAGAGCAATGATACAGTGGTCAGGAAGAGCAGCGATAGGAAGCGGAGGAGGAAGAAAGCCATTGGAGCAGATGAGTATAGAATGCTCAATTTTGTGGGAGAGATTTATAGAGAGAGAAGAGAGATATCCGTTTTGTCCAGAGAAAGAGAAGTAACTAAAAAGGAATTGACAACTCCTGCGAAGCCGGAGGACTGCAAATGGAAAAATTATTAGGTCGATAGGAATAAAGTGGCGAAGTTTGATGGGGACGACTTCAGTCCGTTTCAGTGTTTTTTAAAAAAACCACTGCTTTTCGCCATGGGTGCTTTCTACCGGACTGCAAGTTGGTATGCTTATCATATCTATTTTTTATGCAATTATATTACTAATCAATAAATTTTGATTTTTGTTATATGATATTGTAATTTGTGGACACGCTATCAAAAAATTTTAAGCATCCAGCACAGATATATATGACATGGGTATCAAGATAAATTTTTAAGTAAAAAAGATTTAAGTTTTGATTAAAAGTCATCCATTTTTTTTTTTCAACAAATTTATGGTCAAACTTACGGGCACAATGAGACAGACTCAATTGTACCAAAAATCAGTCCAAGATGAGTCAAATCAAGCTCATATCAAACTAATAAACCACTTTTAGAAGTTTTTAGTCATAATTGGTCAAACAGATTTTGAATATGACATGCTTATATTCAAATTGAGCATCTCGGTAAGAAGAATCTAACGAGCCCAATATTACTCAATTCAGACATTATATGACACTAAAAAGTCTATCAAATGTCATTCAATTAATGAGAATCCTTTGGGTTGTCAGATCAAGAGTGGCATGATTTCATTTTTTATTGTAACCTGGAATCTATAATTTGAGGAGCTACAATCCAACCTCCTGCGCTGCTGATCCGAGGCCTCTGGCCACCGCCGCCTTCACCCGATGTCGCATCCAACCAACACTGGTTGCCTCTGCCTCCAGCCACAACTGTTGCCACTGCTGCCTCTCAACCAACACTGGTTGCCTCTGCCTCCAGCCACAACGGTTGCCACTGGACCAACACAGATTGTCACAACCCTTCTATTTTTGTAGTCGCCAACTGTCGTCGACCGTCGCTTGTCTGCCACCGTTGAACACTGTCGACCGCTTGCTCCTGCAACTGCTGGACAACTTTGACCACCACCTTTTGGCCACCATCAAGCATCATTGGTCGCCACCAACTCCTTGCAATGAAGTCCCTTGTGAAGACACAATGTATGCTGTGAAACCCTAGCATACATTGCAAAGTAACAAGAACCCCCCTTACAATGCAACGACACACCTCAAAGACCGCGTAACATTAAAACACTCTTAAGATGGTGACTTCCTCCATATTCCTAAAGCTCTCTCCCTACAATTCCCCACTATGGCTTTTGTGACCAACTACAACATACATTATCAATAACTCGTGCAGCTCCCGACTCTGACCCTTGCGGCCTACAAACATCAACACACCTCACTACTACAACCTATATGACTAACTACAACCTATGTGACACACAGCTTGTATAGCTTCTGACTCCGACAGCTTACAAACGTCATCACGACTCATCATTATGGCATATGTGACCAACTACGACCTACGTGGAGCACAGTTCTTATGGTCGACCGTCTTGACAATAGGTCTGGCCGATTGGTTATGCGAGACCTATTGCTTAGGTCTGTCGGTCGATGATTGGTCCACTTTTTTCGTTGGGGGAATCGTGGCTCACTTGTTTTTTGACTCAAGTCTTACAAAACCTGTGTCTCTTCCGCTGGTCTGTTCGTCGCCTCAGTCGGATCTCCCCATTTGCAAGGTCTTGTACGGATCTTGTCACTGCCTATGCGGAGTATCCGACAAGACTCGCTACCAAGATGATTTGTGTCTTACCCTTGGTGAATCTTGCTGCTATCGAGTAGAGAACTATTTTCAGAGCTTTGACCTATCCCGGATTTAAAAATGCGGTTACTCTGCTTGGTGTTAAATTATCGGTCGATCACTTACTCTGAAGAATAGCTTCGAAGCCGTTTGTTATCTTCGAGATTCTTGTTACTGATTACAGTGTATATAATGATCAGTAATTCTTCCTATATTATTACTAGTATAGGCTCGCTACACGAGCTCTGTATTTCTTCACTTGTTCTCTTTGATGGCATTTTGTATATAATATCTCCTTCTGGTTCTCTAACACGCTGATAGTGCCCATGACTTTTATTATTATTATCAGTATGAAAATCTGACATGAGAAATAAAGTGCTGAAAGCAATTGATTCAAACATCATTTCCCGTTTTTATAAGATTCATTGAAAAAGATGGGTAGATTTGAAAATTGATCATATCTTATATCTTAATTCATTCAATTGCACGCAAAGTCTGCTTGACAAATGATGTGTGTTGATACACGTATTGGTAGTTCTAAAATAGCACATGAATGTCAGAATTTATAAATAACAATATTTTAGATGCATGGCATGTAATTATTATCCCTTATTGATATTATTTTTTATAGCACATACATCTTTAACATACACACACATACATATACGTACATATATATACATACATACATACATACATATATACATACATACATACAATACTGCAGTCTAACTTCTAGTAGATATGATCAGAGAAAAGATGTAATTCCACAATATCACTAACTATCCCACGGACTCCATCGAGGGTTCTCATCAGGGTTGTAAAATTAATAACACATCAAAGAATTTTATTGTCATCACTTGACCTCTCCTCGTTGAGGAGCGAGCTATCTATCGGGCTATGTTGATTTACTCTCTACTTGATAATCCAACGTCGCTCTGTCGACAGGAGTTCTTCATCAGGGATCAAGGGTTGATAACCGGACTAGATCAGTCAATTCACAACGTTGACCAACCTAGCTAAACTAAACCGGTTCTGTTATCCTGAAGTCAATCAAGCCCAGCGAATTGAGCTAGAGAGAAGAAGAACGATCGACTCATACATGAAAATACCAAAAATACCTTGTACAAGCCTCATTAACACGAGAAAAAATGTAACATCACTATATTGTACTCACCCCTATAAATAGGGAAATCATTTCATGAACAAGGTATAACCAAATTAGAGAAAAAAAGATGGGAAATATCAACATGTTTGACACAATTTAATGTTCATTACTTCTTTCTCGCTCTTCCTTTTTTCTTATGCTCTATTTCTTGTTGTGTGACAAATTAATATTTAACAATATATATAGAGTACGGAACTCGAATATTTAACACATTTAGAAATGGCCGGGGCTTGCTAATACCCTCCGGCCATATATATATATATATATATATATATATTAATTCTTAATTACTATTAATTATTTTTATTTACTCTCTTGTAGCAATTATTTATACTGTTGATAAGTACTTTAGTTTAAGCACTTTTATCAGCACAAAAAATTGGTTTTAGTTTTGGAAATATAATTTTTGTATCGCGGGTGAAGTCACATCACCAACAACTAAAAAGTCGAGGAAAAGAGTGGTTTGAGCTCAGATAATAATGAATAAATAAAATAAAATTGAGTCATTCAAATTTCAATAATTTAAGTTACATTTTCTTATCTTATGGTGATTCTCTTATTTATAAAGAGATTAGTTTATATGTTATAAATAATCACTCATTGCACACATTATATGAGTAATCATTTCACATAAATATTTTTTTTTCTCGACCTAACTTCTTTGGTTCAACACCATCATAGAAAGTGTTGATCTTCTTTAACCGATTCATCTCATGGATAGATCTTCTAAACTGGTCGTCGAGTAAGTCGGGTTTTCTTAGTGAGTCGTTGAATTGTTTCAATCTAGTCAGACATTTGTATGTGGACCATAGACGGGGCATCCAGCATAACTCTCTGATCGAGTCAATCGATAGACTTAATTTAGTTAAGCTATCTAGCCATCTTGAACTAGGTCTTAGATCTTTTGGCTAAACATCACTAAAATTGTTTATTAATGGTAAGATATAGTTAAAGTTTCCCATAATATTCACATTAATGATTTTCTTAAAGATATGGAACTAGCAAGATGCTATATATTCATCCCTCCAAAATTGTGGCTATTTATTATTATATGCAATCATTGATCAAAGTTTAATAAAAGAAAGGTTGTTATTGAGAATATAATATTCACAACACCAAAGGAATCTAATATCATTAATGAAGATGTGCTAGAAATATAATTTTGAATGTGACATATAAACCTTTACTATTTACAAAACTAGCACAAAACTAACTCTATTTTTCAAAAATCCTTTAAATATCAAAATTCACATTAAAGAAGGCAGTGGTCCATTTTATATTAACTTGTACAGAATGGTCTGGCGAGCAACCTACATCCCCTCTAGATAGATGTCCAAAATAGAAGCTTTCACAAATTATATATTAATTGTATGTCTTTAGCAATATATGTACATTTCATATTGCTAATACTAAATAGGCTATTTATCAAACATTGCCTATGCCTATTTATCCTACTTTGGAAGCTAAATAAAATATTTTTAATTTATAACTCCAATAAAACAATTTTGAATTGCGATCAGATTGTATACTTTTATTATATTTCGTAGTTTTTTATAGGGTCGTGAATTTAGCTCGAAGATTGTTAATCACTCAAAAATTGATCCAAATTTTGGCTTGGATTGAAATAAACGAGCCAAGCTATGAGCTGAAAGTTTGGATCGATTTTTTTTTTCGAGCCAATTTCCAGTCATATATGGATCAACTCAAGCTGACTAGAGGTCGACTCTTAGTGTTTATATATATATAATGCTTAGTAAAATTGAATATAACCACTCACAAGCCAATTTTGAGCTAGAACAGATTGAGTTAGTTAGATTCAAATTTGAGTCGGATCAAGTTGAATTTGAGCTGAAACCTGCAGATGAACCAACATCTTTTACACAAGCCAATTTTGAGCTAGAACAGATTGAGTTAGATTCAAATTTGAGTCGAATCAAGCTGATTTTGAGCTGAAACTTGCAGATAAACCAACCTCTTTTATCTTAATCATTCTATTACTAACATGAAAAAAACTAATCAACACAATTTTTTGCTCCAAAAAATATTTACCACAATTCAAAAAATTAAAAAAAATGGAATGTCACAATATCATCACCCATGCCCCTCCACACCACACCACACCACTACACCAACTATACATTACCATTACCAACACCTCACACGCCAATACTTCCACACATCAACACATTTACGACACCACTACTAACACCTCCACACACCAACACATCCACAACATCACTATCACCATATCTACACACCAATACAGTCAGACATCAACACATCCACAACACCATTACCATCACCTCCATATTTTCTATTTCGTCCAACTAAGTGTCATAAATAAAACTCATAAATAACCCAAATATTCAATTTTTTTTTGGGGCTTTTACATACATAACACATAATTCTTATGTATTTAGGCACATATCACATACTACATACCACAACATTTTAAATTAGCCAGGCACAAAATTCTTACGTATTTACATTCTCACACCCAAGCTTCTATATTTAGGCACAGCATTTTTTTGGGTGGCATTTACATACATAGCTCAAAACTCTTATGTATTTACATTCTAACTCCTAAAATTTCATTTTTAGGCGCAGACTTTTTTGGGGGCATTTGCATACATAGCACAAAAGTCAGTTCTCATGCATTTACATTCTTACACCTAATCTTTTATATTTAGGCGCATAGACTTTTAGAGCGCATTTACATACATAGCAAAAAATTCTTATGTAATTTCAGATCTAACATCATATTGCAAATCTAACAAAAAAATATAAAAACTTATGTAAGCCCGAAGCTTGGAAGAGTGGATGACGGTTTCTCACTTTGGAGGAAGATGGAGTGGGGAAAACAAGCCGAAAAATGCCGGAAACCAAGGTGAGAGATGAAGGAGCGCTGGAGGAGATGGACGTCAGATGGGGAAGAAGAAAATGGAGTGTCAGCTGCGGTTCGGAATTTGGTATTTATTAGGGCATTAGCGTTGTCCGCTCATTCCAACGCTAAAAGTTAAATTTAGCGTCGAGCTACGCCGGCAGCACTTCGACGCAACTCTTTTGCGTCAAAATTTTCGATCTTAAAATCACGAGCGACGCTAAACGGATACAAATCAAATACTAATTTTACGTCAAAATTTTATCTGACGTTAATTCGGACGATAACCCGCAACTCTCGAGCAGTGGAAGGAATCCGCATAATCGAACATATGACCGATTGGCCTAAGGCGGGACGATCGACCTAAAACCAACTGATCAGGCTAAGACAAGACGATCAGCCTAAGACGTAGGCAATCAACGACCATCTACCAACTGAAAAAATCCTTACCAGAGAGTATATTTGACACGTGTAAAATGCGCTAAAATAACCCTCACAGAACTAATGATTAGAGAGCAAAAATAAAATTTTAAATCCTCACCTCTTATACCTATAAATAAATATGAGGTCATTTTTTCAAACAGCTAATCCGTTTGGGGCAGCTTATAAGTGCGGGTGACGTTTTTAAAACATCGCCGTACCGTTTAGTTCGCGCGTTTCGCCAGTTTATCTAAAATTAAGTTTAATTTTTTTACACTAAACGCAGGCCGCAGGTCCAACCCTGCAGCCCGCCCGAAGCCCCAAATAAACATTGACAGGATGCGATTCATGCATGGGGGTTGATTTGAGATTCGTGCGAAGGGAACTTCGTTGACTCTGTTGCCACGTGTAGGGTTACGTAGTCTAAACATATTTGACGGGCCAATAGCGTAAAGATTCCGCGATATAAAATCAAATTTTGTAATGGAAAATAAATATTAGTCTCTCTCTCTCTCTCTCTCTCTCTCTCATTAGCTCGCAGATTACTTAATACACAGATCTGATTGCAACGTGCAAATATCTCCTCTCCCATTGCATTATTGAGAGAGAATATTCCCTTATTATCAAAATATAAGTCTTTATTTTAATAGACGAGCTCTAATTTTGGACTTATTCTAAGACGTCAAAGTAAATGCATTAAACTAAATATAACCATTGATTTATCTGCCTGCACAAGCTTGACTTGACCCATAAACGCGTCTAAACTCAGTGGTAGAACTTGATTATGGCTGGGGGAGGCAGTGGCTATCCCTAAATTTTTACTCAATTATTAAAAATCATATAAAACATTCATGAACTTATACTTAAATTTACATATTTTATAATATTTTAATATTAATTATATTTTTTTTATTTAATAATCAAATTTATAATTATTTTAATAATTATATCATTTTGTTGAAGGCATCATTGAATATCTATTTTTTAAATTCGACAAGCGAATGATTATAAATATTAGCAGTTGGTGGTCAGTATGAGCCTCGAAGGAGGGTTAAGAACACGAAGGAAGATGCCTCCAGCCATGAAGCCATGGCTTAAGTTTGCCATCATTGGCGATCTAGATATCTATTTCATCGCAAAACCTCATAAAAAATGCAACAAAATGATAGCACAAAAATGGTTTCATGTAGTGAGGTATCCCAATATTCTTGAATTTAAGAACAAAGGATAAATTTATGTTAGGATACCATGTCCTAATTCCAAATGGGACGTATTATTCCTTGATACAAATAAATTATTGAACATTCATGAGTACAATCATGAAAATCTAATAATTTTGGCATGTCATCTAATAAACTAAATCATATTTATCCTTCAAATTCAGTTGTATGTCTAATCATATAGATATATTAGGGGATAATACATGATGCATGAAATCAATGACACCATCCTAATATAAAACATATCATGATGTTATTATAAAACTTTTCCAAAAAAAAAAAAAACATATCTTTCATGTTTCTCCAAAAGCACATATGCTTTTAAATAATTTAGTCCCACAAACATTCACTGCACTTTAAATTATCAAAGAAAACAGCATGCAAAGATAAAAAGCAAGCCAATAAGGCTCCCCAATACCAATACAACAAAAATTTGAACAAAAACCTCAGCAGCTCATGATTGGTAGGCAGTAGATAATGTAGCCTAAATTTTCATGTGAGCTTATGAATAGTTTTCATGTCAGCAGCCACATGTAGAGTACCTTTCTCCACATGCTCCCACCACTTCATCAGGAAATTGTCTACGACAAGCCTGAACCAAGGTGAGAGTTTTACGCCCTCCTCGCCGGCGTCGGCTTTCCTCAGCAGCTCCTTCAGTTTGTCCTTATCGACATACATAATGTCCGCAACTTCTTCTGGATTTGGATTCACATTGACATCACGAACGATGAACAGCAAATAATCAACTGTGATGGAAATAGCTTGTATGGTTAATACAGGAAAGAGGTAGGAATGCAGGATGGAAGATTAGGCATGTGGAAGAGGTGACTTACGTTCATGCTCGCCCCATTTTCCATCTGAAGGAGCCTTATAAAGCATGCGGCCGACAGGAATGAATTCATCCACAGGGAGGTGTTCGGGGGGAATGCCCAGTTCATCAAGCAGCTTCCTTTGTGCAGCGTTTCTGACGCCTAGGTAGGTTGAAAAATTATGATTACATGATGAATATATTTGTAGAAAAGAGAAAAGACTAGAATGCTACACCTCGGCTGATCCCCTTCAGAAACAAACAGTGGTGCAGTGGAGGTGGACGACTAAATTAGGACCATTGTTGGTGGGAATGGTGTCTGACTGAGTCGAACCACAGCTTGACCTTAACTGGGGTCAGCTGGGGAGGTGACAAAAATGGTAAATTTTTTTATGAAATACCAAGGAAGTTCTCTTTGATGAGCTCTGATTCACGATAGAGAGGATGGCTGCAGCAGGTGTTTGTCCAGACTAAAGGAAAAGTGACTTTTGTAGCAGATCTTTGCTGTGAGGAATGAGAATAAGCAATGCTTTTAAGCCTTCTTCATTGATAATGCTAATAATAAGATAAAAAACAGTGATATGGCGATTTAAGAAGCCAAAAATGTTACGCCCACCTAGGAACAGAAATGAAGTCATGAATTGATACAGATATTATGAAGATAAATTTCATTGTACTCTCTTTTTAGGCATAATAGAAAGAGGCAGAGTGGACATATTGCACTTTTATTAATCAGGACAAGACAAAACATTACTCTATCCATCCACACAGTAATTAAACGAAAGTTCCATTATATACAGCAATGATTCTTATCTGATAAATTTCTTCAGCTTGAAAAGGATTAAGCCTAATGCAGAAGAAAAAATAGCTACTTTAATAATAATTAAAATTGTAATGATGAAGCAGAAAACATATACCTGAAGCAGCAACTCATAGTTCGAATTGAACAGGAAAACGCTAAAAGCCCTGTGAAGCAAATTTTCCTTTTCAATCTTTTCCATCAAATGGCCTATACTTCAGCAGAAGGGTTCATAAATTAGCTTAAAACCAGCAATGAAATTTAAAATTGTTAAGCGTAGGCTGGCGACAAAAAATATTGGATGAAAATTGAATGCTTCACAAATCATCAATGTTATTTTAATGATTTCTCATCAAACAAAGATAAAATTGAAATCAGTTATACATTTACATATTATTGATAAAAAAAAGAAAAACTTCAGTATAAATAATAATAAAAAGAATTCATGCTTTTCAAATGATAGCAAGTATTACTCATGTTTATTACACACTATACATTTAAACCGTACAAGGCACAAAGAAACAGAGTTATATCTTCTACATTGAACCTGGAAAATGGGCAATTGAGGGCCAAGGTATATTAAGAAGCAGCATGGGATTTCACGAAAAACAAAGTCCCAGCCTTAGATTTAAACTGATGATATACCGACGTTTCAAATGCTAGCTTTGTGAGAACTCTTAATTCTTGATAACTCGTGTAGCATCCTTGGATTTTTTTTTAGATATTTCATTATTTTAAACTAATTATCTCTGATCATCCCAATCTCTGGGTTCTTTCGGAAAGGTGAGTTTTTTAACCTTCTTTTGCTTTTTGGATTATTCAAAATCATAATTCCAGCGGATTTAATGTTTTTTGAGTTATTTTTGATAAAATATCAATTGATATTATATTAAGAAATTAATTAATTGTTACAATTCTTACTCTAATTTTCCATTCTCACATTTTACAGCACAAAACTAAAAAATAAGAATTTCTTGCTATGATAGTGCATAATTTCAAATAAGAAGTTCGACAAAATTTACTATTAAAGAGCATCAACTCTTTTTCTCATTCTGAAAGGTTTAGCGCTTTAAGAAGGTACTTTAATAGTTTATGATGTTGCCTCCTTATGAGTAAAATTATTTCTTATTTTGTTATTGATCTTATATACACTTAAGGAACTTCTTCTTTTTATGATTCTCAAGAACATTGCTAAATAAAATCATTACATTTAATCAACTAAATCAGATTGATTGATCATTTTAAACTTATGCGAGTGATGATCCTAATTTTTATTCATAGTAATATTACCAAAAAATGTGTTCGTTAAATATGGCTCTTAACATTTATATTAAGAATAGCAAACCAATTTATCTCCTCCTCTCTAATCCTATTCTAATTTTTTAGGGCCTTTGGAAAGGTGCTTTCATAGTTTCTAGACGCATCATTTTGTGAATTAAAATAGGTCTCATTCTAGCATTGATTTCCTATACAATAAAGTTGTATACAATATATAATTATATATCAATTCATTCTAAAGTTATAAACATTCAAGGAATATTCATTCATTTATGATTCCTAACAACATTGACGAACATAAGCTTTGCACTTATTAATTAAATTTAATGGATTGATCATTTAATTATTTAGTTTTTCAATAATATGATTGATTGTCCAAACTTCTATTTTAGCAAAAATAAAAGATGAGATCATTAAATATGTCCATTAATAGCACATATTAATAACAATAATAAAAAAAACTTAAATAGTTTAATTGCAATTCAACACTACCTCGTAACGTACTAATTGTAAACCTTCAATATGCACAGGTTTTCCAATATCTATTGTTAAATATTATCATTATACCAATTGACTCTTTCAACAACCATATAATATAGTTTTGAGCCTTAATATTTACTATATTCATAATCCAAATAAAATATTTTCTGCAAATGAATTCACTAAATATTAATTTAATCCACAAACAGATGTCCACTTATTGTTACTAACTGATGGCATGATTAGTACACCTAAACTAATCAAATGCCGTTGTAGCAAATGATTTAAGATTGTTTAATCAAGCTAAAAATAAAAAATTAACATAAAGCACTTAATATCATGAAATATATCAAGATTGTGTTTAATCAAGCTAAAAATAAAAAATTAACATAAAACACTTAATATCATGAAATATATCAATAATCTAGTTATAAAAATAGTCTGAAATGTTCCTCATTTTCTTTTTGGACAATCAAAAAAGCATGTAAGTAATATTTTAAGATTGGCATTTGGGAACCATTATTTGAGCATGTTATGTATCATGTCTTCTCAAATTCCCAGTTGGCAAATAAAAAAATATTTCAATACTAAATTAAATAAAGGTAAATAATATTAAGACTTATAAGCATTCAAGTATATCAAGAAAATTAGAAAACGAACATCAAAAAGTAGTTGAAATTCTTGTTCGATTTAATATTTTGCTTCACATCATATTATGAAGAAATTTTTTATAAGAAAACTACTAATTTGACTGTAATGAAAAATTAAAGAATCTTGATTTTAATTTCATCATAGGCTAATACTATTAAAAACTGAATGGAGAATCCATGCCTTTTATTTCGTATTCTATTGAGAAAATCCTTGTATTGTAATTTAAATTCTGGCATATGTTTCTTTAAAGTCACCTTTTGATTACATAATTTCTTTGAGTTTTAATCCCCCTGCATTCCTTTGTGTGTAGATGAAAATAATTTATCTCAAATTAATTCATTTAGAAAGAGTATTTTTCCTTGATGAAGGTGAAGAAGTCATTGAAGAGGGCAATGGAGCGGGCACTAATGTTGAACCTATTGTTCAATGCATTAATTTCAATTAGTAATGATTGTATTATTAAATTTTGCTTCATCATATTAATGATGAGATTGGCATGAAGAAATTTTGCTTCATTATATTAATGATGCATTGGCATGAAGTGTTTAGATATTTTGAATGTAATTTTAATATATCCAAAAATAACTTTTATCATTATCAAATTACTTTAACGATTACATACTTTATTTTGTGGTATCTTTAAAACAAAATAGTAAAAGTATACGTTTCTATTAATAAATTATGAAGTATTAAAAAAATATGTTTATGATTAGTTGTGTCATATCTTTTACAATTATATCATGTTGAGTGTCCTGCCCCTGCGTACGTGTTCGTGTTAACGTCAGTGTCCGTGTCCGTGTCCATATCTGTGTTGGTGCTTCTTAGCTTAAAATTACATGCAATTAGTTCATGTTGAGATTTGTATCTTATTTTGAGGGGTTTAACTATAAATAGGAAATATAGAAGAAGTCTATGGGTTATCTGTAAAAAGATTGTAAGCTCTATAAAAGCCCAATTCATGAATGAAGGTATATAGAGAATTTTTACCAAATGTATTCATTTATTCATGGTATCAGAGCCTAAACCTAGCAGCACGCCATCATCATCAGAATCGACGTGGGAAGGTAACAACGGGATTTTCAACTTGATCGGTGCTAGCTGCAACGGCTGCGAAGGCAACGACGCTACGCAGCTCATTGGGGAAGGTAACGAAGTGACCGCTGCTTGCTATCATGGCTCTTTGAGAAGGAAACAATGTGATTGCGACTCACTGGAAGGCAACAAAGTTACTAATGCTTGTTGTCGCGGCTCTCTGTGAACGTAACGATGCAATCGCGACTTGCTAGGAAGGCACCAAAGAGACCGCGACTTCTGCTTGCTGGACATGTCCTAAATATGTTAAATTTACTTACATGTTTAATACTCATTTTTTATGATACTGCACTTTAATGGAATGTATTTTTATATTTTTGGATGCAAGTATAAGATGAGAAGAAACCGGATATTGCACTTTAATGAAATGTATTTTTATATTTTTGGATGCAGGTATAAGATGAGAAGAAACCAGATCGAATCAGATCGAAAACGGAGCGAAACAAAGCAAATTGGGCTAAGGAGAATATTCTTGATCTGGCACCTAAGCGTTAATATACAAAGAAGTCGATGCCTAAGCATCGTATCCTGGCACCCAAACGTCAGTTCATTCGCGGAGCAAACAAAGCCGTTAGCGCCTAAGCGCCGCAGTTGAGGGCTTAGGTGCCATAACTGTCCAGAGCAGTTTCCCTGCAATTTTAAGCACAAATTCAATCATTTTAAAGGGGAGATTCATTTCAGACGTCCAGGAGGAGTGGAGAGTTGAGAGAAGAAAGATCCTGAAGGCAAGAGTGTAGGAATTTGAAGAGAGTGAGAATTTCTTCTATTTTCTACTCTTTTCCCTTGAGTGTTGTGTGAATTCTGTAAGGATTACTGTAAGAAGTGCTAGAAGATCCTGGAGATTTACTTGGGGTGAAGGGTCCGTTTGGGGCAGCGAAGTTTATTTCAGATTTCAGTAAAGGAGATAAGTTTTCTTTGCACTGATTTGTATTCAGTTAAGTTTTATTGTGTAAGACTTGCATGTGTTATAAATCAACGTGTTAGTTTATTTTCTTCATGAAATCTGAGTAGTTCTTCATTCATTTCTCTTTGTGATGAGAAATACTCTATTATAGGATTAGAATTGTTTAGAATTTCTTTCGGTCCATAATTATGATGATTCATTATTTTTTACTTAATCTACTTTTACAATTTGGCCAATTGTTAAGTTAAAACTTGTTGTAAACCCATAATGACCCGAGAGGGCTATGAATTCCTCAACTAATAAGAATCACACTAATCTAGTGGATGAAAAATGTAATTCATAGATTAATGCAAATAGATAGGGAGATAAGTTTTGACGGATGTAAATTGGTGATTCTAGGGTCACAGGGTAGAACCTTAACCTATTTGATCTAGGATTTGAAACTTAAAGTTAGGTTAGCTCAATTGAGGGCTTACATGGGTACTCTAGAGTGACGGACTAGAATCTACCCAGCATAACCAAACATAACCAAAGATTTAAGATTTAAGAACTTAACTCTAGGTTAGCCAATATTCTTTATGCACTCAGAAGAAGGTAAATAATAGGTATGTTCCTATTTGTCATATTATTTCAACTAAATTTCTAAGCACTTGATTCTTATATTAATTAAAATTCGCATTGCAAGGAGAGAGACTTTAGCATAATTTGAACTTCTCTACTTCCATTTTACCTAGTGACATATAGTTTTTTAATTAAATTTAGAGAGAATTAATTCAGTAGAATTGAATATGCTTAACTTATACCA